AACTGGTTTTCCTTAGATAGAAAACTTTGGATCAATTGGACTGAATGATCTGGTTGAATTGTAAAGTGCCTTGAGATGACATGTGTTGTGAATTGGCACTACAGAAATAAACTAAATTGGATTAAACTTGGACATTATGTGAGTATCTACAATGGTGAATGTTTTATATTAAAATGTCCACCATGGTGGTCAAACTGTCAGAAAAAAACAGCAGTCTGAGTTTGAAAAAAGTCTTAAACAGGGACGATGAACCTGCCGTTACTAGGCGCTGATGCCTCCTAGGAAGAAAATAGGTATAAATACTTTTCAAAGACAGAACATTTCCACTAAACCAGTTCCAGTGTCTTTACTGGTGCTACTGGTTACCTAGTTTCTTTCCTTTTCTACCCTGCAGATAAATAGTTTCTATCTCAGAACCTCTGTTATCTAACCATCATTCAACCCCTTTACTTTTACCGCTGTTAGTGATCAGATCAGCTAATAAAAATGATGAGGCGTTTCCCGACACTACATGTTATTAAGAGATCCAGCTCTGTTTATCTGCATTCTAACTGCTTCTCTTCTACAATTAGGTCAGACCTTTCCTAAGCACTGGAACTGCTGTAGTGATAAAGTCATTAAAGAATTCAGTCCTGTTCAGGTCTTTAAAATCCCCCTAGATCTTAGGTCACCATTGTCAAACTACTTGAACATTTAAAGTGAATAAAGTATAGAAACAGAACGAGATTGCCATCCTGTCAGAGTGATCAGTTGAGAGCTCCATATTTTTTCAGCATCAGCTACACCCTTTAATTTGCATCAGCCATATGGTTGATGTAGGCGTTTGCACCTCTTGGGTATTTTTTTATTCTGTTTAAAGAGTGCATTTCCTTCACTTAGTGTAAAGCTTGTTCCAAACTGTTCGGAAAGGGGCAGAATCCTCTAAATCCATAACACCATATGCTTTTTTCTATATCCCCTAAAAAGGTTTGTTGAAAGCATAATGGTTCTCCAAAAAGTATTAAGCCTGGCTATTGAGTCCATAAGTGCCTATTTCAGTACATACTATGAATATTTCTCTCTTAAGCTCAGGATCTCAGTGGTGCTGACATAGTTGTCTCAGGGTTGTCCTGAGAGGGGGCTAATTGTGTCGCCTTTAGAGTCAAGAGGAAAAACATTTTTAGTGACATAACAGCTGTTAGAGGCTCTCACGGTTTCTCATTTCTCTCACCGGCCTGCAGTCCTTGATTGGTTAAGGGTTTCCTGATTGTTTTTTCAAGGCATCATTGATTACTGTTAGTCTACATAAAAGCTGCCCTCTGCTACCTACACTTGGAAGCTCTGCTGTAGAGAGTGGGTGTTGCTCTCTGTTAATTGCAATAATGGGGTTCTCACCCAATCATTTTGTTCTTTTATTCGGACATGACACAAATATAAAGCAGCACGCTCAGTTCTTGTGTGCATGCATCCAAGGACTGACAATTTTCTATTGGTACTTGTTGTACATCATGGTTATTAGTCCTGTTAGGGGTGGAATGTCCCTTATAATGTTTGATTACTAAGCTATGAAAACAGAATTTTTATATACTAATGTATATTTTTGTTCATATACACACAGGTTGGCTCAGAGTCTCTGTTTAAGTGGCTGTTGGCGCTTCCCTGGAGGAGACCAGAAGGAACTGTGATGATCCACCTTTCCCAGCCGTTTTCTCTAAAGGTGCTCGTCAGAAAGAAACTGGGCCTTATTTATTAAAATTGGCTGAGATATGGTTGAAGAAATGATCATAGGATAAATCAACAAGTGTAATTAATGGACCCTAAGCTGGAATATCCCAGCATTAAAAAATGATGATAAATCTGCCAACTGTGAATTAAACAGTTATGCAGCACTCTTTATTCATGGTCTTTAAAGTTTGAAAAGTATGGAATCTGATTTTTCTGATCTGCACAAGTATGGAGAAAACAATGTTTTTTAGACTCCATTTCTTTTTGCTCTGTTATTAAATTTCAAGGTACATCCATTAAAGCACCACATGTGAATAATACATTACTGTAAGCCATTTGGACTGATGTTCTGTTCCCTCGATGTAGAAACTTGCTTCAGAAGATGAAGGGGAATTTCTGATAGTTGAAAACAAAGGGAGCAGTGAGGAAAAGGTTGGTCACTGCAGTTGCCAACAACTATATTTTTAATCATACAATCCTACTTCAGACCCCTCTCAGTGAATTATGCTGTAGAGACTGGATTTAGTGTAAACTATTTTATTCACTGCAGTTTATGCAGAGCTGCATGGGCTGAAATACCCTTGCTCACTCCTTCTTGCTGAAATAGAATATTTCCTGTAGTTGATCAGCTGATCCGAGTGTGTTCTCCACCTAGGCTAGTGTTCAAATGCCTTTGATCCTCACCTAAAGATCTCACTCTCCTTAGTCTACTACTCAGAGACCAACTGCATACCACCAAACTAAAGAAAATGGATCTGGTCAGCTGGTCTCTCAATGCAATTGATCCAATTTATTCAACTGGAAGACAGGGAACAGGGGACCCGTCCTGTCCTGCCGGGACATATTTCGTGGGATACACCATGGACTCCTGGAAAGCATGGAGGATGGTGCGTTTCACAACGTTGTCATTGGAGGATGTCAAAGATGCATGGATTTTTGGTTTTATGATACTCGGATTTCTCCTGTTTGGATTTGGAGGACACATGATGTATCTTCAATTGCAGAGGATGTCGGCGGCAATTGTGGCATTGATCAGGCTGCCGGGAGCAGTTGATGCCCTCAATAAGGCTGTGAAGCAGCAAGATCGGGAGCTGAGCCGTATGCTGGGTGTGTTTGAACGCAGGCTGGCTGCGGTGGTTGAACTCAAAGGTGAGATGGGATAACATCTTGGATGTGCATGCTCCCTTCAAGGTGGAAAAGCACAACACATTTTGAATATTGGATTTCGCCACAAAAGAGCCAGCAAGAAAAAGACTCGAGGCTGAAGGAAATTCCTGTGCAGCCTGCTCTCAAAACAAAAGTGTTATTCTGGATTCAACCTGCCCCCTTTATCTAATCTCCCCTGGATGTTATGGCAAAAGGGCACAGAAGAACTGCTCCCCCCCTCCCCTTACAGAAAAAACATCTGTGGAGATGCTCGGTGACTGTTGATAAACTTCCATCTTATCAAGGACATTGCCTGTGGTCAGTGTTCATGGACAAATTGAACGCACTCATCATACACGCACTATAAATGTCTCAAATGTCAGATTGACTTCATGTGACTACGCCTCCGATGTGACCCTCTGCGGAAATGTCTGTCTTGTTTTACATGTGCTTTTCTTGTGCAGAGGGTTTTTTTTTATATCTCAAACTGTATCCTTTCAAGGATAAAGTGTGAATGTGTTTGTTTTTTTTTTCCCTCTCTTCCCCAAAGTGGCTCCTATCTTTTCACAGAGATAAAGGCAGCGCAAAGGTAACCGCCTGGGACCTGGGAAGCCAGGTAACTGGTGGGAACCCGGCAAGCCATAAGAATGCGCCGTTCTGCCGAATGGCAGCGTTCTGTGGCACGCATGGCCTCAGTAGATCCGTTCCCCCCACTCAGCCCCCCACCCAAATGTATGTGATGTACTGTGATCAACGGTTGTACTGAAACTGAAACTTCAATTGCAATGTAAATTCTAGTTGACAATAAAGATGTTTCTCTGTTGTATCATACGTACTTTACACCATTTTCTACTATTTCATTAGGGGGGTATAAAAGTAGAAATAGTAAATAAAAATAACTCTGCCAGAAATAGTTTACATTTTTATAACCAAACAGTAAAAAATTTTGTATTGGTTCATAGATGGGTCACCATTGATTTACATGCCATTGTATGACAAACAGTAATCCTCATCAGAAGTCATACTGCGTTGTAACATTTGTTGGTTCGGTGAAGATGCATTCTTTTGCAATGTCTTATGTTTTGAGACAAAAATAACAAGGTGATTCTAATTTTATGAAATAGTTTAGAAAGCCCTCCTTAAAGAAGTTAACTGTGGAATGAGCTTTATTCCTTTTTCTGTGCTCCTCTTGGTCCTGCTGACTATAATGGTGTTACATACAGTAAAGCTTTCCTGTGTGTTTACCTTGTGTTTTTATGTGTAGGAGATGTACAAGTCGGGGCGGTGCAGAGTAGATGGATGGCTCCCTCTACAGGACCTGTTGCTGCCTGTTATCCTAAACAACAGGTAATCAAACCTGCTCGCGCTCTTCCCTCTGTGCACAAAGGGGCGTGTAAGCTGTTAGGAAGCAAACCACAATAGGATTTTTGCTCTTTTGTCCAACATCTGTGAAATTAGAAAAGTTCCTTTCATTTAAACTTTGAACGTTCTAAACCTTAAATCTGGCGCAGGCATGATGCAAACCCTGATGAGAGCCTCATCCTCTTAGACTCGCTCCAATTACCATCAACTTACAGTCTGCCAGTGGAAAAAGATAACGGAATGAAAAGAAGATCCCCGCTCGATCTCTGCTTGGCGCCTATCAAGCAAGGCAGCTTCTCCCATCATGTGTTTATTTTTCCTAGAGAGCAGCTCACCACTCCCATGTTTTCAGTCTGAACATGAAAATGTTATTATGTTATTATTACCAGCGTGAGCACTGTTAGTGCTCCGTTCCCGTTAAAAATGATGCTGTGGCACGATTTCTTGGTTACTTAGGCTTCCTCTCTCTAAGCTTCCCTCTGCCCCTGCATGTTAATGCTGCAAAGAAAACAGATGGATGAGTGGGTTGTTAAAAATTAAAAGTCCTCACACGTGAAATATTTATTTAGAAAGGTGCAATAACTGTAAGTAGTTTGTTTACACTTGGTTTAGATGAAGAGTTTTTTATTCTGTAGTCAGTAAGTCTGGATTTGACACGCACTCGGATGCACTTGTGCAAATCTCTCTCACATACAGAGCTAAGATGCATAATTAGCACACATGTTGCGCCCACATTTCTCCGGATAAGAGGTTGATTTGTTTTTCTTTATCAAAAACACCTCGGTGTTTGAGTGATGCACCTGCAGTTACTTGTCTGTTAGTCCTTCAGAGGTGTAAGGGCGACAAATTCACTGAACTGTTTGTCAGTGTTTACATGGCTGGGCTCCATTGCAATTCACAGCTACACATCCAAACAACTCAAATGAGAAAAAACAAATGTGGAGATTTATTTTTATTTTTTATAGAGTTTGTAGCCTGTGGGTTGACGACAGCTTTTCCAGAGTAACAACTAGTTTAGTGTCCATACAGTCATTCACCAGATGCTTATTAGGAAGAGTAGACACAGAACTACATGTATAACAATAAAGATAGTTATTGTGAAACAAAAATCACTTCTTTGCTTGAAAGCCCACATTTTTATGTATAGATTAGTGCTAAATGATTTTTAGACTGACTCAAACACTAGTTTCATCGTGACAATTACTGTTTAACGGCAAGCTGAAGCAGGAAAATCAAACACAGGCTATCAGCCTTCTGTTTCATTCAACTAGCGGAGTTAGAGCTTGGCTGTGCTGTGAAAATTTTGGAAAGCAATCATGGTGCTCTAAGCTCTTGGTACTTCAAAATAGGTTTTTCCCTTTTGTTTTCTGAATGCAAATGACTTTACTCTTCACCTCACGCTGATCACAGCCGTTGCCAATCCCTAGAACCAGTTTGTTGATGTACAACAGGCATCAGTATAAATCCATGTTACCTTTTTGAAAGGACACCAGTATCTGCTCAGCAGTCCAGAGCAAAGCTTCAGATCTTTTTACACCTATTCTACTCTGAAACACCAACACTTCTAAAAGAAAGACTATCCAAAACAGAAATCTTTCTCATTGTACTTCAGCTCAACGTGTCGAAGCTGTTTGTGCGGATAATTGATGAACTGCAGGGCTTTAGTGGGGTGGTTTCCAGGACGGTGCAGCGATGCTTCGCAAACCCTTTCAGCTTCCAGATTACCAAAGGGTTTAGCTTCATTCATTTCTAGCAAATATACATCAACTCACTCACCTTGCTGAATTTCTGAAGAGTCAACCTAAACCAGATATTTATCATTTTTGGAAATTGAGCAAATATACACACATGCATCCATATAAATACAGAATGTCTGCTTGTGTGATGCATTAAAAACAGCCTTACTTTGAAGACACAACACTATCATTAGAATCAATTTCCTCAATATGATACAAATGGAGAGTAAAAGTTAGGTTGAATGCTTTATTTTGGCATCTTTCTGCAGCTATAAAATATTTAGCTGGCTCAATGACTGATGCGATTACTCCCTCCCTTCACCTGAATTTTAACATTCCCTTTTCTAACACAAAATAACTATCTGAAGTACTAAAGCATATTTCAGTGTCATTCACAGACCAACTATATAGGAGTTCATATCAGGTTGCACCAAAAAACTCAATGGTAAAGGGCTTCATCACATTTTAATATTATAGAAATTTAATTTCATATTTTGGACAAATACAGAAAAGGAAAATAGAAATGTGGAAATAGCTATCTTCCCAGATATTCCTTAATCTGTCATTGAAATGTTTTTTTCATTCTTGCCTTTTTTTCTGCTTTCTTTATTTTATTGCTCTTTATCTTTCTATTTTGCTCTCATCCTTTCTTGTCTTCTGCATCTCTTTTTTCCTTTTTTTTTTGTTTTGGAAATCCTTGGTTCTATAAATGTCTGCAGTATTTATGTAAAGTCCATTGGAACCCTGTTGAAAATGGTCTTGAGATACTTGACTTAATACTCTGTGTCATGTTTGGCTTCAGGTGCCTAACCCACATGCAGAACACTCCAAGACAAGATAAAAGTTCAAAGGTTTATTTAGAAGATGGAATACAATAAATAAACAGATCCCAAGGGGAACTCATCTGGTCACGAGTGGATTCTGAAATGCACACAGAGTTAACAGGTCCAGGACTGGTCACGAGTGGGTTCACTGTAGAGGGGGACAGAGGAGTTAGTGGAGGTCCAGATAATTTGCACGATGAGAGTGTGCAGGGCTGTACCTGTACAGGAGTTTGAGCTGAGCGGCAGAGGGGGGGAACCTTGTTAGTCCAGAGGCTGTCGGCAGCAGAGCTTTGACAGTAATGCTTACCAACCGGGCTCACTTCTTGGGAAGTGGCCACGTTTAACAGTTAAAGAAGCATTTTATACAATTCCATTTTGCCACATCATCACATTTTACATCATACACGTTTGCAGATGAGGAGACATTCATGCCTTCAGCTTTATCAAAATATTACACTTTGACAGCGGTGTCCTTCAGCTAAGAACATTCTATTCCCAAATCTTTGCCACGTACAGAATGAAGATTATAACTGTATACAGCCAGACCAAGGAACAGGCCTAATTAGATAAACTACTGGGGAAAACATCAGTTCTGACACGCCACAGGCAGGTAATATTAAGATGTAATAAACTCACACATAATTGGTGATAATTATCCTAACAACCATTTGAGTCAAATTAAATAATTTAATTGCCAATTTTCCCAGGAGTACTATTCATTTCGGGTTTAAATGTAAAGGCCAAGTAATGTGTTGCAGAAACGTTTTAGTCATAAGCTAGTCCAATCTTAGAGCCTAAACTGCCCTTCCCATTATACTCACAAAGTAAAAGTTGTTTAACAAATTGATCCTCACTTTTTACTGAAAAGATTTGAAGTATGTGATTAGAGTCCCAAAATCATTAAAACAATAGGCAACAGTTTGTGCCTTAAGTGTCAGGAAATTGTAAATTTGTAGAGAAGATGAAATTAAGATTTTTTTTAATTTGGATGATTTAAAGATTCTGGGTTTTTGAGACACATCGTTACCAAATACCTGCTATTTTCTACCCCAGATGTGGAAAAAACCATCTGAGAGAATAAGAACACGTCTGAACAAAATCAAATAATTAAACCCAGAAAAAATCTGCCTTTGAACATTCTGGTTAGTCTATAACTAAAACTAATAGGATGACTGAAGAAGGAGGGCTCTGAATGAGAGATTTAATCTGAAAAAACATATTAGATAATTTGCAAAATTAAACCCCCATTTTTAGTCTTTTTTTAATATTGTATATCACTGTAGTTCTCAAAGTCTGTTAAAATGCAAGGATTTCCAGACCAAAACTTTCTGGAACAATTTTTTCCACCTTTCATTTGACATGAATATATTCAACTGGAAAGAACATTTTAGTTCTCTTAGAGGGACAATGCATTGTATATGCATAGAGGTTGAGGAGATGGGCGTGATGTATTTTTAAGTAAAGAAGCAGAAGTCTTTAAAGTCCCCAAGATTGAACGGGTAGGTTTATTAACTCAAGGTGACAAAAGAAGACGACTACACATAATACAAAAAGGAAATTTCAAGGCTTAGTAGGCAATAAAACTTAAAATACAGATATTGAAGGCTAATTTAAATTCTTTTTTTAACCTTTTCTTTTATATTCATGTCCAACCCAAATTTAGTTTTCAGTCTGACACTTCACCAAGGCTTATTAGTCCTTTTTTTGTTGTTGTCCAAACTCTGCCATACGCAAGGCTTTTTTCAGTTCTGATTTAAATTGTAATCATTTCTGCACCTTTCAGGTTTTCAGAATGTTTATTCCAGATCTGAGTATCATAGAAACCAGATGTTGCCTCACTTGAAGCCTTTTTTCTGAGAACACTGAACAAAGTCGGAAGATCTGAGGGACCTTTTTGTTAGTTTTCGACAAGCAACTCCGTAAAGCATCTTGACCCAAAACTATTTAATGCTTTATAGACTAATACCAGAATGTCAGAAGCTGTTTAAAAACAGGGGTGTAGTCCATTCATTTCCAAATGAGGTGCACATTTAGGCCACCAATTTAGTAAGTTTATGCTTCTACTTTTTTATTTTTGACGGGTTTGTACACCACTTAACTGTATGTTATTACAGATATGATTACTTAGTATAATCCATCAAGTAATCAGATTGCTTTTGTCTTCATTGAATCAGGTCCTCCAATTTGTTTAATGACCAAATGCAACTTCAAAGCCAATCCAGGACCATTGTTTGTTTTTCAAATGTTTGATAAATCAGTCGTTTAATATTAACTGGAGGGGCAAACAACATTTCCCGAGGCTAACTTGTTAAAAAGCTTTCCCTCTGCATTTTAACATTATGAGTGATTTCAAAGAGGAAAAGGCTCTGATAGGATTTGTTTGAATTATGATAATGGGCTAAAATTGCAGAGGCTTGCATTTTTTTTCTTTTACATTGATTCCCATCGTTCCGAGTGCAACAGAATTTACCGGTACCTTGAATACAGCTCTGAGCCGGCTGACTCTGCAACAAATAATCAAGCTATCTAAAAGCAGTTAAGAGCATTAACAGAAGTGTGATTTAAAATTCAAGAAATAAGAAATGAGTTAGATTTCAGCTAAATATCTTTGCCTCTCACTTTTTCCATTTTAGAGCTTGCAGTGTGTTTGGGAAGAGACGGATGTCGTGGTTTCTGCCTACGCTTCATCCTGCGCCTGAACTTGAGGACGGTCGTTCAGAGAGAGACCTCAGTGCTGCCATCATCCTCCACCTCGTCTTCTGTAAATCCAGAATTATGTAAATTCCACTAAATCCTCATTTAAATTTTATCTCATCAATGCTTGTATGTGTGATTTTCTAGCGGCAGCCTCCTGCACAGCTGTGATGTCCACCAGTCTGGTGTCCAGTCTTATGCTCTACAAACACAGAGAGGTACTGTACACACATCTTGCTTGTGTTGCCACATTTGCTGCTCAGTGCAGTAAAATCAGCCTCTGCTCCTCAATATCCATCAATACTCCTAGAGACTCATAAACAAAATTGGTTTTCAAGCCAGAGTAGTCGACTGTGTCACTGATTTTCTGAGTCACACCCAGCAGTCTCATACTCATATCTCCAGATGGTTAATGCTCACGTCTGCTTTTTGGAATTAAATGTCTCCTTCTTCCTCTGCTCCTCAGGGTGTGAGTACATCTGTCCTGTGTCGTGATGTGGCCTGGCTCTTGGAGGAACTTGTGTTCAGAAACAGAGATGTTGGCTTTGGAGGAACTCTTCCAGAAATTGTCCACTACTCGCTCTCTATGCTCGCTCCTCACCTCATCTTTGCTGCACCGCCGTCATGGTAGTTCTTTTTTTCCTATTTGCCACAGAAACAAAACTAGCACTGACAGCACAGGTTTGGATTAAAAACCTTTGTGTTTTTTAGGGGAGAGCTCCTCATTTTGCCACGCCCATCTTTAGCTTCCATCTTCCACCTCTCCCTTCAGGCCAAGATTGTGACACACGCATTGATACTAGAAGCCATTGGAGGTGAGTCACTTTATGTGCTACTATCTTGTGTAGTTTCTGCTATGATTTAGCTGATATATCATCTTTAGACCATGTTATCTCTTTTCTCACTCCTCATGGGAGTCCTTATGACTTATTGCCAAGTCAATGTGAAGATGTGCATATTACCTAATTGAGCAATCATTGAAATTGCTGTATGTTACAAATGCTAAAAGGCTAATTTAATTACTCTAAAGTCTCCTCCAACAACTGTATTTGCTGTTAGGTGGCTTCAGTCTCCAGCACTTCTATTACCACTTCACCTTTTAACTGAGCTTTCAGGAGATTGAGGGATGCCAAACGCCTGTCTGCTACAAGGCAAACATCTAATAATTATACAATATAGGATGAAAATACTTTATTTTCCTTTTGGGGGGAATTTTCTTGAGATGCACCTTTCTGTAAATATAGCTACTACCACAATTATTACACAACATAACCTATATTGACCTGTATTGACCTCTGCGTTAAATGGTAAATGGCCTGTACTTCTATACAGGTCAGGGGATTTGACCAAAGTGCTTTACACTACATTCAGTCAGCCACCCATTCACTCACACACTGATTGTGGCAAGCTACATTGTAGCCAAAGCTGCGCTGGGGCTCACAGACAGAAGGAAGCTGCCGTACACTGCCACGAGTGGGCAAGGGAAACTCTTTCATCCGACGCCACTGTCGCCTTTAGTAGAAAAAAACCTGCCCATATTCTCTATACCATACTGCCACAGAGGTAAAATGCATTGCAAATAACCCCTAATGCATGTTGCTATTACTTTACACATGGTCACTATTATGATCAGATTCAGACATGTTACCAAGGACACGGTCAAAACATAAAAACACAGCACTCTTTCTTGTGATTGTACTTGCTGTTTTTGTGCCGCCAGTGATATGCAGGAAGCAGGAAAAAGTGGTGTTGTTGTTTCCTGTTTGTCAGCTTTAAGACGTGCCTGGATAACGTCTTAACTCAAAAAATTCTGCCTTAATGTCTCCAGTTGGACAGTTACCTTCCTCCATAACAGTTGCTTATGCAGGTCCTTTTCCTTGGACCTGCATAACCCAGTTTTTTTCAAACATAAAAACAATTCAGTATTTTTCTTTACTTCCTGAGTTCAGCCTTCCTGTCATTAGATTTGTCATTTTACTGTATATTTGCTCCGCTTGCCATTTAACTCCAGCCTTGACTTCATTTGCCTTTTAGAGATAAAGCGTTGCTCACTGCTTTGCGCTGAGCCCAGGAAGAACTTAATGTGTAATTATCTGCAGAGCTCATAGATGAAATTATCATAAAGAAACATCAAGCTGCATTAAGGGACCCAGAAATTGGCTGAGGTGAACCAACACTAAAGCATCTTCTTCAGGTCAATGCACTGCTGGAATATTTCTCTATTCCTTATTATAGGGAGTCATTATTCTTTTAAACCACTTTAAACTGGATAGTCCCTTTCTTGTTTATAAAGCAAAATACATCTCATAATTCCAGCCTATAAGGCTCTATTCTAGTTTTTGTCTAATTTATCGAAACAGTTAAATTTATATCATAAAGTTTCCCTATTTTTATTATAAATGTATCTGTTATTTTAACCAATAGCCTGTGATTTGTACACTTTAGAGAGTGACTGATTAAAAATGCTGAGGCACAACTTTTTTTTTATATACATGTAGTTTTAAGAACCGCTCTGGTTTGAATCTTCTGAAGAAAAAAAATACAACAAATCAACGACCAAAATAAATGTATGGTTTTTTTGTAAATATTAGGGGTCTTAACAAATAATTGACTAATGATTAATTTTGGATTGCTACTTTATTACGTGAAAATTTGTTCCATCTGATTACTGATAACGCCTGCCAAAAGGAATTTCTTTTAGTTTTGTAATGTTGATGCCATCATGTAGAGGGCGCTACCTTAAGCAGAGCCTCACTGATATATGCAAGGGTAATGCCAGAGTGTAGATATGCCTCCGCAAAAACATGAATTAATCGATCTAGGATAATTTACACTTTTTAATTGCAATAACGATACAGAATACATGTTACGTCATCCCCAAGTAGTGCCCACTTAGCCGTGCTGCATGGTGGGGCAGCGCCAGCTTCTCTGCTGTTCTCTGAACGAGATGTTGATACAATAATTTTAAAAACATTTGTAACATTATAGAAAAAGAGATGCTGGCAAAAAGCATGGTCGATGGGTAAAGCTTATGTGAGTTAATGCAGTCCACAGAGCTTTAAACATGTTTCTGTGTTTGAAAAGAAACTATCTGTTTAAAAGCACTGCTAACAACTTAAAGTCTGGATTACACTAAATACAGAGAGCTATATTACAGTTAGAGGGTACTTAAATGAGTGTAGTGGCAAATAGTCAGTATGACGGAGTGACATACTGGGACTTAAAATTAGCAGAAATTTGTGTTTTCGCATTTTAATTGGTCCCTGTTTCGTTTTATCTTAAGTTTATTTATATTTAAGAACATATGTTCTATGTTTATTCGTGGTTTATTCTGCTGGCACTATAAACTGTTAAAATGTAATAGATTTTTTTTTAACTTGGCATATTTAAAAAAAATTAAGATTTAGTCCTACTTATCACTCATTAGGTGATCAATAAGAGCAATTAACTTAAGAATAATTCATAACTTACATTTCTAGTAAATACTCTCAAATTATCAACATTCTGTTAGGATCTCATACTGGCTCAGTTCAGACTGCATCGTGAAAACACAAAGCTTGATTTCTCTTTCTAAAAAAAAAACAAACTAAACAATAGAAACAGCTGGGGTCTCACCAGAGTGCTTGTGTGTTTAGCAGCTAACCACAAGCACTACTGTGGGTTGGACATTTTACTCCCCAGTGCCGAAGTTTTACTTGCTGCTATTTTGAATAATGCATGGCAATGTTTTATTTAATTAGTGTGCTTTCTCTATGGCTGAAGAGTTTGGGGCACAGCAGCATATGCATCAGTAATCTATGCTAATCATTGAATAGCAGTAAGTTGAGCAGCCTGCGTATTTGCCAGAGTCTCTGTATCAAGTTGTGGTTTAGCCCCAAAGCTATATATCAGCTACTTTTTATTTTCATGCTGACAGGAAGGCTGAGGTGAAGAAATACCTGCTCTGGCACTGCAGGAGAATAATGTTTCGTGATGCGATTCATTCATAATTTCTACATCAATGATTCTTCATTGGTTACTGTGGTTGTGTGTAAAATATTCACAAATGGATAGTAACTTGTAGTGACAATAGTAACATAGCTGCTTATTAGTCTGATAATAAGTCTTTTCATCCTTAAAAGTGGTTTGTATTTGCTGCTTTGTTTTTAGTAACAAAAACAGTGTGGGATGATTTCTTTTAGACTCGGCAAACAAAATAAGAACTTAAGCTTAATTAAATTATCAAAATCCATCCATCCGAAATATTTCTGCCAAATTGTAACATTATGAGATGGTTTGCTGCCAAATGCTTGTTTCCCTCTATGTGCTTTTTCAATCACTCTGATGTTTTTGGTCTTAGCGTGTGCAGTGTCAGCCATGCTGTGCGAGGTGGTCCTCTGCGGCGTCAGCGGCACGGTGAGGACTGACAGCGTGAAGGCAGAAGAGGTCAGAGGTGACATGGAGTTTGACGTGGTGCTCGGTCAGTCCGAGCTGACGGAGAAAGCCTTGCAGCTCTGCCATCTTCTTCCTCCGGGCTTCATGCCAGTGAGTTTGTATTCATATCACACAAATGCACACCCAGTGTGTCTCATTCAATGGATGTTTAATGGAGCCGAACAGCCATTCATCCTGCTCTGCTGCCTCTATCTCAGCCAGAGAGAGGTTTCAAATTGTGTGTGTGTGTGTGTGTTTCTCTGAATGTACATGCTTCATCAGGCTGACTTCAAGGGCTCTGTATCTGAGCCACTAATACTTTTCCTTTCTGTGAGCCTACCTTTCATTTCAGCAGCTGCTCTTTCTTGTCTCCTTTGCTTGTAGCTTTGTTTCCCACTCCATTTCTCACCAAAAAATATCTCCCTCAGCTCTCTTCCAGCTTCCCTTTTCTCCCTCTGTGTTCTTAGCTACGTCTCTACTCCAAACTTTATATTTTCTGTCAGCTGTCTATATTTCCTAGAATGGTGACGGGCTGAAGCCGTTTTTGCCTTTGACTGTACTCCACCACCAAGTTGAGCCATTTTCACTCTTGCTCTTCTCAGCCCTGTCAGTCCGCTCAGAGTCTCGCTCTGGATGCTGTCGACAGTCTGGTCCGCTGTGGGATCCTGATCATGGAGGAAGTAAGAACCATTAAACATTTCTGACAGTCATATATATATATATATATATATATATATATATATATATATATATATATATATATATATATATATATAGTATAAATAAT